GAAGTTTAGATGAAACTTCAATCCGTGGTCATTGTTTATATGTTGGCTTAGAATCTCAATCTAAGACACTCGCACACACTATCGAGGATTTTGGTCTTAACATGGTCGTTGAATGTGTAATTTTCAAAGATTTTGTCACTTATATATTAATATTTGATAAATAGTGTCTACAATACACACATATTTCAAATGCATTTAAAATGTCTTATCATTTGAACAATATCGGTGGATTTCATTTGATTATTTGCATTAACTTATTATCTATACAACATATATCAATTCGTGTTTCTCGAGTTTGGACGAACTGGCAACCAATTTTGAGAGTTGAGATTATTGGATAAAGATATTTGATTGTTGGATAAATATGTTTATCCCAATTGACTATCTTACTAAAAATTGCCAACCTTTATTTGGTAAATGTCTAGGTTAGTAGTTGATGAAACGCGATGTTTATCTTAGATTCTCAACAAAGATTCTCGAACCTTCCTTTATGTTATTTTTCAAGAAATCTCGTGTCTCATCCTAGGGTATGAAGTCAAAGTTCGTCAACAATCATACTTAAGTGATTTTGAAAATTTTGATTTATAATCGTTGACGATAACTCTAAGTCTGAAAGAAAATTTCTTAACATATGACTTAGGTCCTCAATAGAGCTTGCTCAATCAACATGATATAGAACAAATATTATTAATGTACATGCGATTCCTCTTCATTTGAGGAGTTTAAGGTAGAACATAATCTGAGGAATAAGAAGTCGATCAAGATTATACTCTGACATTTTGCTAAATAATAATTGTTTTATTTTTATAGACATATAATTTGCGAATAAGAGAGTGTTTCATTGCAACAAAATATAAAGTAATATAGTTTATTTTTCACAGGTAATTGAATGTCAAATGTTTATTTTCTCTCTTTTCATATAAATTTAGTTTAATTGAAAAAAACATTATTATTTATGTGTATGTTTGTTTAATTTTTTCATCAAAATGTAACTTATCATTCAATTTGGTTAAGTTTATCAACATGTAACTTATTATTAAAGCAAAGAAAAAATGGATAAAAGAAATGGAAATATTAAAGAAGAGAGAGGTTGCTCCATAAATACATTAATAACTAATTTTTTTTGTTTGTAAAAAAATTGTCCAACTTGACAAATTGTGGATCCTCCAAGTGCTTATGTGGCAAGATATTGCTTTTGAATTGTCATAATATATAGTATAGATAGATTCAGTTATTATTCACTAAAATTCTTTTATTACGACCAATTATATTCAACATACCATCAGTTTGCGTTATATAATTTAACATACCATCAACTTGTGTTATATAAATTAAATCTTTTGTAAGATAAGTTAATCTTACTTAATAGTTTAATCACATGTGAGATCTATAAATTTATTTTATTATTATACCACATGTTACGAAACGCAACGGTGAACTCGTCCGATGAAAAATCTTGGTCTGTCAAGGCCTTAGCAATCAACTTTCCAACCTTGAGGATTCCAGGACCATTGGTGGTGTGTTTATAATCAACGACACCTCCTCCTCATGGTTGGAATTCCTCAAGAAGATTTCCTCGCCGGAGCCGACAATATTCGTGATGCCGAAGGAGGCGCAAAAGCTGGGAAAGTACGTGAAAAGCCACCTGGAAGCAAAAGGAATCCTGAAATTCGGCATCACAAGTTTCGAATTGAGACCAGCACCGAGAGTGGCACGGTTTAGCTCCAGAGGTCCATCGCCAGCTTTCCATCCGTGATGAAGTCGGACATCATGGGACCAGGCCGGCTCGTTCATCCTGACGGCCTGGCCTAATGCGACGGTGGCGAATCACACGACAATTTCAATTTGTTGTCGGGGACCTCGATGTCGTGTCCACAGCTAGCTCGTTTTGCAGCGCTGATCAAGAAAGCCCATATGAATCGGAGCAGGGCAGCAGTCCGATCCGCGATGATGACAACGACGAATATCGTGGACCTCTCTGTCCGACCCATTCAGGATTCAAGCCCAAAGAAGAGTCGAGCGACGGGCTTCGCCATGGGGGGCGGGCAGGTCAACCCAAGCAAGGCACTCAACCTAGGTTTGGTGTACTACCTCAACTCATATGTGAGGCTTCTTAGTATAATGAACTTGACCGCCGCTCAAATCCGAGCCATCACGAGATCTGACAACAATTGCTTTGCTTCTTCCTTGGACGTCAACTACCCTTCCTTCGTTGCGTCTTTCAATGCGACCCATTCCAATGAAGTTATGAAGTTTCAGAGGACGTTGACAAATGTAGGCCAGGAGATGGCGACCTACAGGGTTGCGCTCACACCAATGGATAGGGGTGGAAATTGGGGTGAGTGTGCTTACCCGCCCAACATTTTGGGGTGAGTGTGCTCACACAATCATGCTACCCACCCCCCACACCGTAGTGGTTAGTGGGTAACCACCACCCACTGTGGGTTGGGTGTGGTTACCCGCAAAAACCTATCTTTGCAAGCATGAAGTTGAGGCGTCACGTATTTGTTGTTCGTAGCTAGACTATAGTGATATACAATTGTGTTGCGTGGAGATACAATATTGTATAGTGATCTTACTCAACGTGGATATTTTTTTCTTTTCGAGTTTGGTATTCAACTTTTGTGTCAGGGAGGTGTGATTTCATATTTCACCGCCTAGGGATGGAATATAACAATTAAATATGATTTTATATTTTCTTTCACACAAAAGTAAAAATATACAGATAAAAGTTGCTAAAGGTGTCCACTTTTAATGAATTGATTATTCTCTACTCTCTCGATTATAGTGTTTAATAAACTAAAAAATTATCACATAAAACTGCTTAGGTGCGTATTTGATTTTGGTGTCTACTTTACCTTTTAGTTTCCCACTTTTCACATACTACTAATTACAGTGTGGTTTTTGTGGGTTAATGGTTGTGGATAGTGAATGTATAACCACTAACCACAAAAATAATTATTTTACTATCCACACTCAACCCACTATCCACAACTTGTGGGTATGGTTACCCTGACCCATAATGAGTACGGGTTGGTGCGGTTTGCGAATTATCAAGAAGAAGAAGTCTGGATACTTCGAATGGGTTGAAGATGGAGGAGGTAAGCATGTTGTCCAAAGTCCAATTGTGGCGACTAACATCCACAGACCACAGGTACATATTGTAGGTTGAAGATGGAGGAGGCAAACATGTTGAAGATGGAAGAAGACGTGAATGCTAGGAAGAATCTATTATCAGGAAGGAAGAAAATAGCGATGAAGCATTAGAGCTCTCGACATATGCATATTATTCAGTTGTGACTTTGTTTCATAAAAAAATTCGAAGGAGATTAACTGACGGTGACTAATGATGAAATAATTTGTAAAATTAGTGATCAATAAGAAAGAAAAGTAATTCGGATGACAAAAGTGAAAGATTTATATAATTTGAGTGATCAAACGTGTAATTTAGCCATAATAACCGTTAGTAAAAAACCACGTGGCGCTACAGCAGTGGCCACTTAGCCGGTGAGAAAAACTCCGAAAGGGCACTCTGCGCGGAAAAAACGGTCACGTGCTTGAATTACGGAAGTCGCGCGTCGCCACCCCTGATTCCCGCCATTACCATTTTCGAAAACCCTAATTCGTTTGCTTCCCCTAAACGCCACCGCTCCTCATTTCATTTTTTTCCCGCTCTCCTAACGCTCCTTTTCCCTCCCACAAGCCATTGGATAAATCCCCGAAACCCTATCTCCACTTTCCTTCCCCAATCCATCCATCGCCTTCCTCTTCTTCTTCCTCCTCCAATCGTCCTCCGATAATGGTGGGAATCTCCCGATCTCCAAAACCTACCCACTGCTGCTTCCAGCGCTACCTCAAGCCCGGCGCCCTCGCCCGTCTCCGGGACTCCAAAATCAGCGCCGCCAGATCTCTCCGACCCAAGTCTCCTCCTCCGCCTCCTCCGCGTCTTCCTGAATCGGAGCACCACTCCCCTCCGTCGGTTCCCTCATCCGACGGCGTCCCCTGCTTTTTCGGCAAGCTGTACGGCCCTCGATCCCTTACCAGGAAGAAACTCGTCGCCGCTAGATCTGTCTTGTTCGCCGCCGGTTTGGCTGCTTCCGATCCGGTTTTGGAGCCGACTGGTGGCGTCGCTGATAGTAATAGTAATGGGTCTTTGATTAGTGTGTTGAATAGCGATGTAGTTGTTGCTGCTCATTGATTGGAAGTAGAGATTTGGGGGGGATTAGCATTGAATCCCCCTTTTTCCTTTGTTGTAATTTCATTATAAATACAGTTTTCTTGTTAGTCTTTCCTAGTAAATGAAGCGCAATAAAGGATTAGATTCTTGACGGTTGAAATTGTTTTAGGGTTTTTGACATCTTGGAATGGGAAATTTTGCACTTCTGATTCTCCATTTACTCCTATCGGACCCGTTCGTTCTGTGCAATTCGATTCAGGGTTCAATGATCAGGGCATTAGGGCAGGGGGTTGATCGGTTTTGCTTTTCAGAACTGTGAAATCTGGATCAACTCGCTGTTCATGTGTATCTAATTTCATGCTGTTGGATCTCTCCAGTGTTCAACAGCTCATGGAACATTAGGGTTTGGGGAAGGTCAAATCTTGAATTGAAATGTTGTTGTGGCCAATCTTCTCAGCTTTATGTGCAGAAGTGGGGAAGTTATTACTAACCCTTGCTGCATAATTACGAAGTTAACTTAGTCATTATTCGTTAACCCTATTTGGTATGATTGATATTAGCAGTTTAGAACCAAGCCCGACTGCTGTTATCAGTTATGCTGTGGTTTCATTCAATTGCACGTTGGTGGTTACTTGATACAAGCTGATGAGGTAATTGCATTTATCCCTTTTATTGCATATTGGTGGTTAGCCAAAGAGGGAAATTATGTGTTTTTTATGCTTGCAAAAGGGGATCTCCCACTATTAATGGCTGGACAATTTGAGCAGGTCAAGTAAGCATGTGCATGAGAAGTAGAAGATTCTGTTGTTTCTGCAACTTTGGAGGATGTTGGACGGGAGGGTTGTTCCTCTCAACTATTGGTGTTGGCACTCTTTACTACTTTGGTTATTTGGTTATGGTTATGGTGAAAACGATTTGCAAGGAGGAAATTCCATTCACGGCTTGAAGTTTATGTTTGCTTTCAACAGTTTGTGGCAAGGAATGCTGAGTATCAGCACAACACAGGTTTCTCATTTCCTTCTCCCTGGATATGAACGATGCTGTCTTTCACTTCTGCTTGTGTCCCTTTGTTTCCTTGCTATGCTAATTGCTAAGTGATTTATCAATCTAGTCATTGCAGGCTTGCAGCATCAAAGCGCTTATTATTTGTGAAGTGGAATAAGGATATGGACCGAAAAGCGTCTGCCTAACTAAGCATGGTGCTGACGCCTTCTCAGCTGTCCAGTTTTGCGAAAAATGGAGATCCTGAATCTGGTGCCTGCAGGACGAGAAGCATCTGATCTCCCTTTTCACTACTTCCTTCAATCGTGAGCATTGGTAAACTAGTCTCTCATGGTTTGAATGATAGCTTCTACCTCATTAGCGCATGACCTTTCATGTTGCATCTTGAAATATATGCTCCAAATGTCAGCACTGGTGGTAGTAATCATCATCATTCCATAATGATGAGTGCAGAGCTTGACGACAGTGACGGATGATAATAATATTTACCCTCTTACCATGGAATTTTTTACTCCCGTAGGCGAACAAGAACGATGTTTGTGTTTCTGAAGATATGGCCAAGGGTTGGACAAGACGTTTGCTGGGACAATGGGTTCAAAACAGTATGCAGTAGAAGAGATTCAGACGGCATTTGGTGAATGAATGCGCACAGAAAGAGTTCAAGGAAACAAACGGGTGGTGGTTCTTTGCAGCAGCAGTCGCTGCTTCCTTTGTCTCATTTGGGGATGTACGATGAAGGGAAGGGAACCAAGGAAAAGATCTATTAGCGGTCGAAAACACAAGCCAATGTGACTGAAAGTCGTGCCATTTTTGTTTGGATTCTCGACTTTCAGACCTCGTAAGTGTGGCATTATTGATGGGACTTGGAATCACGCCCCCAACTTGCAAGCTGCCACTGATTGATCATCAGAGGTGGTGGGACACTCAATTTGTATTGCAGGGATGAAGGTTGTCAAACCGGTTTATGCCAGTGTGCCGATCTACCATGTGGAATGGTTCGACCGGTGGCACATACCGGTTTGTGCCGGTTCATGTTGGTCAATATTACAAATAAAATTATAAATACTCATATTGAAACATGACATTAACGTCAATACCTAAACATTTATACTTGAATCCAACAAATAACATCAATATTTAACTTTTATACTCATAAAATAAATAATAAAATAATTTTTATCAATTAAATTCACTAAAATAAGGTCATTTTACTTGGAGATTCGTATATCGATCATGCCGGTCATACCGGTGATGTCATGTCGGTTTTATGATCGGTATCGGTTGAACCAGGTACAATCGGTGGCACGCCGGCCGGCGTGACAACCATGGTAGGGATTGAAAAAAGAGGGCAGGACAGGTTTCCGTCGGAATTTAATAAGATCTAGTTGTTAGTGGTGTTTAAACGGTGTGGTTACCATGATAACCGTTTTAACCCGTACTATTTGGATAATTTGGTTTGGTTAATTTGGATAATTGGTTTGGTTTGGTTAAAGTATTTAGCTTGTTTGGTTTAGGTGGTTTGGTTTCAGACACTCCTAACCAACCAAACCAAATTAACCACATAAATAATTAGTCATATATCTAATATATACACATACTTAATACTTTGAATAACCACTCAAGAGTTAAACGTTCATCCCTTTTAGACTCACAAAATATAAAACTTGATATTGCTCCTATAATGTATATTTGTATATGTAGACTATAGACCACAACATATAAACGCCTAATTTAGATAAATCTCATACATTATGTTGGATGAAAACTTGAAAGCAAGGTCCTTTTCAGCCTATGAAAATTGCTAACCGTAATATAATTGTCTTAGTTGCATGTATTTATGTTAAGGGTCAACTATAACTATGTGTTGATAGATATGTTTTATTCATTATATAAATTGTGAATTGATAAATTAACCGAAATTTTCTCACTTAATGATAATATGATTTTATATTGGTTAATCTGGTTAACCAATTAACCAAACTGATTAACCTTTAATTTGGTTAATTTGGTTGTTGTATTAGTTTGGACGGTTTGGTTATGATATTGTATTCCATGATTAATAAAATTTAGCCTTATTTAATTTGGTAATAACCATGGTAACCATGTCCATTTGAACACCCCTACTAGTTGTAGTTGTGTTCCTTCCTTGCCTATATGACATTTTTTTTTTTAAACAGGTTTTTGTTCGTTGTTTACTTATTATAAAATCAACAGCACGTAGGTGGCTGTTTGCAGTCACAGTTTGTTGACTCGGCGGCAGCAATTGCATTGCATTTGATTGGCTAGCCGCTGCTGCAAGTGCTGTACAAGAAGTAGAAGCCAACTTCACTTTTGTCTCTCAAAATTACTTTTTACTCTTGAAAACCATTTGCAAATTGCAATGCAAGTGCAACTTAGGCCTTGTTTGGAAGTTGGAACCTCTGACTCTAAACATTGTATTGTGAGTATATGTGTATTTATGAAGAATACAATATTTTTTTACTTGTTTTATCACAGAATACATGATATATTCATACTACATAGAATTGATATATACTTAATCATACCTTTTTGGTAAAATTTAGTATTCATAGTTCATTCATGTATAATCCATGCATCCTTCTATGTCTTCAAAACAAAACATTTTTAAACCCACACATTCTAGTATACACAGAATCTTAATGCACATATTCTTGGTGTATCTTACTACACTATTACCGAAATCAAAGGCTCCAAACGACCCCTTACCATATAAGAGGACTTCCCCATATTATCAAAGTTATAAAATACACCCGTTTGGACAGTTTCACTGCAATGTGTAGCGATCTAGATACCAAAATTCACGGGGAATCGAAGTGAACCATTCAAAACACGGTCGGCTAAGCAAACCGATCTCGAACCTGTCTGGATTAAGGTAAACCCAAAGCGATCTATCCACAGATCGCTCGAAACTCCAGCGATCTACACTTAACATATGTCGAAATTTCAACAGGCAATAACCTTGCGTTTAGTTTAACTTATTGTAGTTTTTATTATTATTTTATTTTGCATCATTTCAACAGATCGTAACTCTACGTTTGATTATCATATTGAGTATTTCTCAATAATTCGAGTTATTTATGCCAAATTCTTCACAGAACTAGTTATGCTCATTTGATTCCCACTCTCAAACAATCCTTCGCACAAGTGGAGGGGGAAAAAAATCACTAGATCAGAGGCAGAGGCACCCCACCAGTCACCACCCAAGCCACTAAGCTAGCCACCATTTTTCTTGATTTGCCATGAAACCCATCTCCCCCACCACACCACACCATCCTTCCTTTCTAGCTTCTTTTTGTTCCCATGTACATCTCTCTCCTTTTTTTCTTCATTTAATTTTCACAATCAAGTTGTTGTCTTCATATATGGGATGGTGATTGAACTCCTGGCTGTAAAGAGTAAAAGACATTCATACATATGCACACACAGACACAGCCAATCACCCTGTTAGCAATTCCTCCTGGAAAGTGATATCACCAGGATCCAGCTCTGCTCTGCCCTGCCCTCCCCCTGTTTCTTACATTACTTTCTGAAAAAGTAATTTTCTGATTACTAGTTTTGTTTGGAGGTGGGTTGTTTTATAATTTAAAGGGGATTGCATTCTGTGTTAATTCTCAAGGGTCCATTGAAAGCAAAAGCCAGCACAAATAGACAGAAACCCCTCTCCCTCCGCCATCGTAATATAATTCCAGGAGCAGAGGAGACTGGAGAGCAGAGCAGATCTCTCTCTTTCTCTCTGAACCCTCTTAAACCCAGGTCAGGAATCGATACTCTGTTATTCTGGAATTCCTTTTCTGCTCTTCAAACCCGTCCCTTTCTTCGTTACTTTTCTCATCTCTTTCTGTTATGCGCTGAATTGAATATACCACCATGTTGCAGGTATCTCGAATTGGGGGGAATTCCGAATTCCAGGCCCAAAGTTCGATTCTTTTTCTTGAAGCCCTGAAAGATTGGTGCTTCCTGATCCAACCCAAGGTAGATTCCTGCTAACCTAACCCAATTCCCCGCCCTCTGTTTTCCCTGTCTATGTATCGACGCTGATGTGCATAGTTGGTTCAGGAAATTCGTCGAATGGGTGGTAGGCATGACTCGGATTGGCAAGGGAACGGGGTTTGGAGATCTCTTAGGGACGGCGATTACGACGAGCAAGATGTTTGGGATGTGCTGCGACACAACAGCAAAACCAACTCCATTGAGCAGCACTCTGTTCCGCTCCCCTACAGAAACTTCCCCTCCGCCGCCAGAATGATCCCCATTGGCGGCGGCGGAAGCTGCAGCAGCAGCAGCGACAACGACGCCTCGAAGCTGTTGGTACAGCAGTCGGCGCCAGTCAACATCCCTGACTGGTCCAAGATTCGCGGCAAAAATCAGCCCAGGAAGAGCTCCAAGAAGCCATGGATGGGCTCCGACGATGGAGAGCGCGAGGAGGATGACGACGACGACGATGAAATGGACGGTGGTGACGACAGCCATATGGAGCCGCCGCACGAGATGATCTCGAGGAGGATGGCGAGGACCCAGATTTCGTCCTTCTCCGTGCTGGAAGGTGTTGGGAGGAAGCTGAAAGGGAGGGACCTTAGCAAAGTCAGGAACGCCATTTTGACCAGAACAGGGTTTCTGGAACCCCCCTGAGATTGAGAAATCAATCAATGAATCTGGTCATTCTTTACAAATTGGGAGGATTTTTTCTTCTTCTTCTCCAGGATCTGCTGCGGCGTCTAATTTATGGAAGCGTGTGAAGAAGATTGTAGATTTGAAGGGGGATTTTAAATTAGGTTTTAGGAAATCTAGCCAGCTAGCTTGGTAGTTACTAGTTTGCTGTTTCTGGTCAGGATTTCATCATCAGGATTCAGGTGGCTTCTTCTGTCATTATTTCTGTTCAAGTTCCTCTGTTTCTTCTGTAATGATTTTGAATGAACGATTATACGACCTCAGTTTTTAATTAAGATTGTTGGGATTGTTCAATTTGAGATTGTTGTTTCTTTTCCCTTTAATTTTGTTCTCTAAAAGGTACATTTTCTACCGAAGAGAAGGGATAAATCATAAAAGTAATCACAGTACAACAATTTATGGGTTGTTTGATTTTGGTGATTGTTTGGTTGGGATAGTTACAATGCATTGTTTTTTTGAATTTTCTGCGCAAACTATACATGCATTGTTTGCTTGATGTGATGAAAAATATCACTCAAAATGAGTGATATTAATATCTCAAGTTTTTTTGTGAGATTGTTGAGATTGTTTGAGTGTTTTCTTCTTCCAACTATGCCCCTACCAAGGTTGTCAACTCGCGGGTTGACCCACGGGTCGACCCAATTTGACCATGACCCGGTGAGAAAAACGGGCTGCACGCACCCGCCGGGCAGACCGCTATTAGGTACCGGGTTGGAGGTCAAATTGTGACATTTTTTTCTTTAGTTTGCGAAATGTGCCTATTTTCCAATTTTTCTTTTCGCCTAACTCAATCTTTGGAATACTAAGTTGAACATTTGAATATTTATGTTATATAAGTGTGTGTGAATTTTCACTATATGTTGGACCTAAGTACGATATGTTATTTTGGTGTAATATTATATGTTATAACTCATATGTTAGATAAGATTTGATATAATTTATGGGGATAAGTACAGTATAATGACTCTTTCTATATTTTCGGGCCAAACCGGGCTAAAACGGTTGACCCACTAGCTCGACCGGATCTGGGTCAACCCGCGAGTTGACAACCTTGGCCCCTACCTTTTGATGTGTTTTGCTTTTTTATATTAAAAACAAAGGGTCAAAGTGACATTTCAACAATAAAGCAATATATCTTATTTAAATACTAGAATAACTATCGCAAAAACCAAACGATGTAAACTACAATACATCAATTTTCTTATATGCATGTATATAATATACATGCATCGATAACAATGCATCTATTTAACTATCACCAAAACCAAACCACCTAATAATTGGAGAAACCAACCAACCTAAAGAACCCAAACAATCGTGCAAAAGTAAATCAAGATTCATCCAATCCATGGTATGCAAGTTTTCCCCGTTAAGGAAGAACAGTGATTATACATGGTAATACATAGTGTATATACCCACTACGAAGAATTGAAGATGGAAAGGGGAGGAAGAGTGTTGGGAGAATTCCAGCACGTGTGCCGCGTGGTTATTGATCATGAATGAATAAAAATAAAAAAAAGAAATGACAGCCAATTTCGGCTTTTCTTCCGCTGCTGATACATCTGAACTTTCATGTACTTGTACTAAACCTAGAACTTAACATCGTACTGTGTAGCAGAAGTTTTGGGCCACGTTTTTTGTTTCTTTTACTGCACCATAATAAATCGTCAGCTGCCCTTCTAGAAGGGGGAAATGCAGAAGAAATAAGGAACCGATGTTTAATGTTTTTACTGGCGTAATCTTTCTATTTTTGGACATTCCAAGCTAAAACATATACTGCCATAATCTTTAGTTTCAAGGATTTGATTAGTTTCTGCTTTCTAATACCAATATTACTGATATTATTTTGCAATTATATAAAGTGATCTCTCCAATCATATAAATAGTATTTCAACTCTCGAATCTGTAGTCTAAATGACTTATAAGTTATAACATGGACTAAGTGCTCCTTTTTTGCTCCGTCTCTCCCATTCTCACTAAACCCTTTCACAATCCTGTTAATGGGTACCTGCTAATCGAACGAACCGTTGATCTCAAAGTCCTCTGTAGTCGAATGTTGTAGGCACGGACGGATCTTGGGCACCCAAATTAACGTAACAAGATAGAATTTAGAAAGAGATTTAGATTGATTGAGAAGAGAATTGGGGCAGAATTGGATGATTTAGAATTGAGATTAACCGATTAGGGTTCTTGAAAGAGACTAGAGAGAAGAGAGATAATTCTAACGATACTTTGATTATTTTTTTTCATTCATATCCCTAATGACAGAACTAACGTACATTATATAGACGCTGACAAGAAACCCTAACCGACTAAACCTAATAAAATACTAAACTACCCTTTAACCCCTAATCATACCCGCAACATCGAAACCTCATAGAACCATTGACCCGATCAAACAAGTTTAATAGCATTCATTGTAAATTTCGAACAACTCGTGAGCGGCCAATTGCATTCATGCACAATCTATTGGTTCTAACGAGAGAAAATGAATACAAACTTGACATCAAATTATAATCATACGACCAACCTATTATTGAACGGGTGGGTCAGTTGTGATAGCAAACTCAACCGACCCATCCAACTACATGAAATAAGCATTATATATATATAATCATACGACCCATCCAAAGACATCACCATATAGGTGGCTACTTCGGTGCACTCATAAAAATGAGTGCGTTCAGTGCACCCAACTCAAAAACTAGTCTTAAAGTGCCAGATTTTGAATTTTTATTTGTAGAATTAGTGTAATATGATGATATAACATATGATAACAACAAATTAGCGATTTACCCTTAGCCCTAGACCTCCAATTTTAAGTTCTATCCCTAAACCCCAAATTGTAAACCCTAACCCTATCCCTAAATCTCTAAACTCTAAATCCTTCAAATTGAAGTAAATCTTTAATGGTTTTTGTGCAAATTCATGTGCGTTATTGTTCATCGCATCATAAGTAATGATTGACATCATTTTGACATAAATTGCATGTTTAAAATGACGGTTATAAAGCGAGTGCACTGAATGCACCCAAAAAAGTGAGTGCACCAAAGACATCACCATATATATATATATATAGCATTATTCACCATAATTTTCGTGCACAATGCACTTTCTAAAACCAACAAAGAACTTTGCAATTACATGCAACACACCTAATACATAATCAATTAACGGTAACACCCACTAATCAGTCACCCTTAATCTTCTATCATGCTCCGAAGTTAACATAAGGCTAGCAATAGGCTCCACTTTTTCTCGATCAAAACCTTTCAACTCGTTCAAACCCAACTCTCTTAGCTCACCAACCTTTCTCTCCAACCATGTTCTTCTTCTTCTTCTTCTTCTTCTTCTTCTTCTTCTTCTTCTTCCAACCCTTTTCGCTGCAACAATTCCTTGGATCATCCCAACATACACTCCATATCTCCTTAACTTTTCGATCTCCTCTTCCCCTCCTCCACCCAATATCGCCCCACACGCGCCAGCACACGCGTGGATCTCACCTTCCTTCTTCTTGCACACCCGCTCCACCCACTCCTCCTCGTCGCCGTCGCTGTCGATCATCTCGATCTCGTTGTACCGCGCCTCCACCATACCGTGCGAGCCGGATGCACGTGCGATCTCGATGATCGCACGTAGCACCCGGCTGCTCGACTCGGCTTGAGTGGTTGGGTTGGAGTGGTTGGGGTCGGACCTCGCCAACAACTCGAGCCCAAATGGGATCAACCCATCTCCCGTGAGCAGCTCGATGTTGGGCCCGAACTTAGGCCCATCCTTCCTGGGCCGAGACGACAGGAGCCCCTCGTGGGCCGAGGCGGCTGCGTGGACGAGACGCAAGGCCGACCCAGCTGCCACGGCCTGGTCCCGGCTGCCGCCGACGAGCTCGCAGGCGAGGAGGCACAGCGCCGGCGCGGTGGTTTCCGGGGCGGAGAAGGCGAGGTGGCGCATGGGCTCGGAGACGGCGAGCGGGTGGCGGATCTGAATGGCCCGCTCGAGATGGGCCTGGATGTCGGCGTTTGCGGAGGCCCAATAGTCAGGAGACGATCGGAGTGGCAGCGTTGTTGGTGGTCCCGACATGGTGATGGTGGGCCGCAACGTGGGCCTGCCGGGGAACAGACGACTGCGGCGGTTGACGGACGGCGTCAGGGGCTTGCTGGGGAGAAGAGCTCCGGTGGCCATGGACATTGGGAAAGCAAGTTTTGTAGAATTCTGTTGGTTCGTGGATTCAAAGGTTGTTGGGTTGTGGTTGATGTATATATTTGGGGGAGTGTAATGAAATAACGCACGTTTTGCGATTTTGACACAGTAGGCAGGTAAGTAGTACACAGGGGGAAAACATGACGAGTCAATTATGAATTATCAGTTGTGTTCCCATGTTGATCACGAGCTGGAATCTGCTAGATCTGGATGGATAACTGTACCCATTGGTAATCAGCGGCGGCGGATGCAGGACACGGTAGAGCACTGAGCCGAATTTCATTAGAAAATTAGATACGGTAAAAAAAATAGTTTTTTTTTTTTTACAATATCAATTGTACACGTTGATCTTTTAAATTTTAATATAGTGAATTCATCAATAATAGAGTTTACATCCATACTACCAATAGCATACTCTCTTCAAGATAAAATAGTTAAACCAATTGGTCGAGAAATTCATATCGTTCATTTTGTTGCGCGCATAATTTTTCACCTATTTCATTGTTGAAAAGGTTTTCTCCATAGTAGTTGTTGGAATGAGCAATGTCAACACTGGACAAATCAATCGATTAATCAATATATATTGTGTATCAATTCCTATTTTCACCAGTTGTTCTAGTAATTTCTTAAGGGAATAAACCTCATGTATTCTTTGTCTTTTACGTTTTAGAATTTTAGGTTTCATTGTTTGTTTTTCTTCAGATGAGAATCATTGGAGCTAGAATTTTCAAGCTAAATTTAGAGTTGTGATTTGAATATGTTCATGTTACCAATTTTCCTAATTACACACAATCTTATTATCAATTAACACTGGGCCGAATGGCTAAAATCTATAAACTCATAAGGACTATACCAGCTCCGAATCCAGGGGAGGACTGAGTCGTGGCCCGGGGTATGGCCACCCCCTGGATCCGCCACTGTTGGTAATGCATATAATTTCGACATAGCCCATTTTACCTTATCTGTTTGACCTATTTTGAGGCGGTAGGTGGAATGAGGAGAGCATGAGCAATCTGCTCGACCAAAAAAAATATAATCTAGTTCGTTTATCATTATTTCTCCGTGAAATGCCCTTTAACATTTATGAAAAATATCCGAAATGCACTTCTTCAATAT